CAGGAATGGGGAAGAAAAGCTGAGATGTTTGAAGTTTCATCAGTCTGAAATGGTAGAGGAACATCAAGAAGGTAATGTCAAGAGGACACACTCAGAAATGCAGATGGGCTAAATAGAACTGTATTTGATAAATTAAATGAAACTGTGAAGACAAAACTATACAGCATAGTGAAAAAAAAAATCAAATCTAGAAAACTTCATTCTGCGTATTGTTTCCTTCAGTTTTTATTCCAGCTCTCCACCATCCTTTTAGATAGTATTTAGCAAGAAGAACTTGCCACCTTTTTTTAATTCATCATCTAGGTACTTTTCCCAGGTGCTGTTTCCTCCCTGAACCAAATGACTCAAGCTTTTACTGATAACGATGGAGCAACATCTGCAAAGGTTATGAGTGGCCATAGGAAGGAGATTCTGTGCAACAGGTAGATAATGCACATAATTCTTTTTAAAAGGAGAATTGGAAGCATTACAGCATGAAATGAAGGAACAGCAGGGAAAGGGGCACGTTTTTGCCCGGGGCTGTGAGACAGGCAAAGCTATTGAACATACTATCAAATGTGTCTAAGCCTCAGATTGCCATAGATACTATTTCTCGTGGTTTTTTGCCTTCCATTTAATGCGATGAACAAAATAATAATAAACCTCCCCCTTGCTCAACTCTCCCCCTGCAGCTTTAGAATCTGAGACTAAAAAAGGTTTTTCTTGAAAGAGAAATTGGAGGAACAGGCTGTGACTAATTCTTTCTCTCTTCTGTTTAGAAAAGGGAAATACTGTCATTTTCAGTGGCAACAGTAAAATTCCGACGATTATTTTCTTTTTGGCTGCATCTGTCCACTATGACCACCTAAGGATCCAATGGTACTTGCTAGCCTTAGGTCACTGGAGGCTCCTGTTTTTAATAGGACTAGAGGGAAAAAAGAACAACAAAAATCTGCCCAATAGCATTTGATTAAGCTCACTACACAGCAGTTTTATTTTCTAAAGCAGCACTGGGCTTTAGGAGGAACGGAAATGAATCTATGAGCAGATCGTGTTGTCTCTGTGGTAGCTTATTGTCACTTCAAGAGTTGGCAGGATACTTGATTGCTGTGTGACACTGTATGAAATACCTTATGCAGAGAGCTGCCCTTGTATTCAACTGTATATCTTTTTTTTTCCTGTGATATGTTTGCATTTTTCAGTATATTGTGTATTTCAAAAGCGAGTAAAGTTCCACCTGCCGTACCTACACAAACCCTTTCTGATCAAAGCATATGTATATCTACGAGCATCACATTACAAAAGGTTTTTATCTTCTAATTCTTAGAAATAAGAATCTTAGAAATAAGGTTACAATTTGAAATACTGTGAAGTAAACCTGTGTTCCTGCTTCCTCTTGCATTGGAGCATACATTGTATCTAACTGACTTTAATTAGTTACTTCAGTTCCAGATAGTGCTATACAAATCAGAAGCACAGGGAATAATAAGAGGAGGACAATGAACCATCTGCCAGCACAATTCTGTCCTTTTTGGACACTGCTTCTTGTTAACCCAACCCATATCAAAGTCAGCCTCTGTGGTACATATGGATTGAGAGCTTACATATTTAGGGCTAGTGTCACATCTCTTGTGTTATCCCCTGTTATTAGATAGTAATGTAGTTGCTGTTTGTTCACTCATAATTTTCAAAGGCATTTGATAAAACCTCTTCTTACTAATTGCAGTTTTCTTCCTAATTCTTTGTGTCTTTTCCATTCTCTGTCTTCATACATGTTCACCTTTCTTGGGTTACCTGTCTACTTTGGAACAGAGTTCCTATTACTTGTGATCACCTGAAATTTCCTTCTCTCTTCTGTGCGTTGTTCCAGCCTTAGAAACATAGAACTGCAATGGACAGAGTGTTCCCAGTCAGGAGAACACAGGCTGCACATCAGGGCTTTTTGTCTGGTCCCTATGGCAGTTCACATGTTTCCTGTCTCTTGGTCTCCCCAGGTTATCTCCTTCCCAGCTTTTAGTGACAAGTAAACACTATTTAAGCTCTTTGAGCTCTCAAAATGAAAGTTGCAGTGTATCGTTACTCCTCAACCAGTATAAACATAATTTATCTCATTGAAACACTCTCAGGTGTT